AGATGGGGTTGTAAAAGAAGTAAATGCTAGGGTGTTCGGGAGAGGGGTGGGATTAAATTATGGGGAATCAAATTCAAAATGGGAATTGACACAGTTACTTTTTGCTTGATGATACTGTGCTTATGGGAGATTCTAAAGAAAAATTGCAAAGGTTAGTGGATGAGTTTGAGAATGTGTGTAAAGGTAGAAAGTTGAAAGTGAACATAGAAAAGAGTAAGGTGATGAGTGTCTCTATCAAATGATTTAGATAAAGAAAAATTGGATATCAAATTGGGGAGGAGGAGTATGGAAGAAGTGAATGTTTTCAGATACTTGGGAGTTGACGTGTCGGCGGATGGATTTATGAAGGATGAGGTTAATCATAGAATTGATGAGGGAAAAAAGGTGAGTGGTGCGTTGAGGTATATGTGGAGTCAAAAAACGTTATCTATGGAGGCAAAGAAGGGAATGTATGAAAGTATAGTAGTACCAACACTCTTATATGGATGTGAAGCTTGGGTGGTAAATGCAGCAGCGAGGAGACGGTTGGAGGCAGTGGAGATGTCCTGTCTAAGGGCAATGTGTGGTGTAAATATTATGCAGAAAATTCGGAGTGTGGAAATTAGGAGAAGGTGTGGAGTTAATAAAAGATTAGTCAGAGGGCAGAAGAGGGGTTGTTGAGGTGGTTTGGTCATTTAGAGAGAATGGATCAAAGTAGAATGACATGGAAAGCATATAAATCTATAGGGAAAGGAAAGAGGGGTAGGGGTCGTCCTCGAAAGGGTTGGAAAGAGGGGGTAAAGGAGGTTTTGTGGGCAAGGGGCTTGGACTTCCAGCAAGCGTGCATGAGCGTGTTAGATAGGAGTGAATGGAGACGAATGATACTTGGGACCTGACGATCTGTTAGAGTGTGAGCAGGGTAATATTTAGTGAAGGGATTCAGGGAAACCGGTTATTTTCTTATAGTCGGACTTGAGTCCTGGAAATGGGAAGTACAATGCCTGCACTTTAAAGGAGGGGTTTGGGATATTGGCAGTTTGGAGGGATATGTTGTGTATCTTTATACGTATATGCTTCTGAACTGTTGTATTCTGAGCATCTCTGCAAAAGCAGTGATAATGTGTGAGTGTGGTGAAAGTGTTGAATGATGATGAAAGTATTTTCTTTTTGGGGATTTTCTTTCTTTTTTGGGTCACCCTGCCTCGGTGGGAGACGACCAACTTGTTGAAGAAAAAAAAAAAAAAAAAAAAAAAAATAATAATAATAATAATAATAACAACAGAGCTTCAGTTTCCTAAATTAATAATAATAATAATTTATATATTATTATTATTATAACGATAGTCCTTCAGGTCCCTAAATTAATAATAATTATTATAATAATGATATCTTTATTTACTACAAGTACAGTGGACCCCCGCATAACGATCACCTCCGAATGTGACCCATTATATAAGTGTATTTATGTAAGTGCGTTTGTACGTGTATGTTTGGGGGTCTGAAATGGACTAATCTACTTCAGAATATTCCTTATGGGAACAAATTCGGTCAGTACTGGCACCTGAACATACTTCTGGAGTGAAAAAATATCGTTAACCGGGGGTCCACTGTACATGTACATGGTATACATGCCTAGCTGACATCAATGACGTACTACTACAGTGGACCCCCGGTTCGCGATGCTATCGGTATCCGATAAATCCGGTAACCGATGCATTATATCGCAGAAAATTTGCCTCGCTTCCCGATACAAAACCCGGTATGCGATGTGGTTCGTACGAGATGTGTTCATGTGTGTCCTGAACTGCCCCGTGTGTGCCAGTGTTTACAAGCCAGCCAGTGTGCGCACATCTAAGGATACATTCGTACATTCCATATTATCCATATTATCACTGTTTTTGGTGCCGTTTTTGCAAAATAAGTCACCAGGGGCCCCCAAAGAAAGCTCCCAGTGCCAACCCTTCGAGACCAAGGGTGCTAACGACTGTTGAAATGAAGAAAGAGATAATTGCAAAGTACAAAAGTGGAGTGCGTGTGTCGGAGCTGGTCAGGTTGTATAGTAAACCCCAATCAACCATCACTACTATAGTGAGCAAGAAAACGGCAATCAAGGAAGCTGTTCTTGCAAAAGGTGCAACTGTGATTACGAAACAGCGACCGCAAGTGTTAGAAAATGTTGAGAGACTGTTATTGTGTGGATAAATGAAAAACAGATAGCATCTCTCAAGCAATCATTTGTGAAAAGGCTAGGCAGTTGAATGATGATTTGGTAAAAAATTGCCTGCAACTAGTGGTGATGTGAGTGAATTTAAGGCCAGCAAAGGTTGGTTTGAAAGATTTAAGAATCGAAAGTGGTTATACATAGTTGTGATTAAGGCATGGTTGAGGCTGCCAGTGCAGACACAAAGCGCTGAAAAATATGTGCTGAATTCAAGGAGTACATAGAGGCTGAAGGATTGAAACCTGAACAAGTGTTTAACTGTGACGAAACAGGCCTGTTTTGGAAGAAATTACCAAGCAGGACCTACATTACTCAGGAGGGAAAAGGTACTCCCAGGACATAAGCCTGTGAAAGACAGGCTTACTCTGTTGATGTGTTCCAATGCTAGTGGTGATTGCAAAGTGAAGCCTTTATTGGTGTATCACTCAGAAACTCCCAGAGCTTTTCGGGGCAAAAGAATGTCCTCAAGGCTAATTTGTGTGTACTGTGGAGGGCAAAACAATAAGGCATGGGTCACTAGGGACTTTTTCTATGACTGGTTACACCATGCATTTGCCCCCAGTGTGAAAAATTACCTAATTGAAAAGGAATTAGACCTTAAGTGCCCCCTGGTATTAGACAATGCCCCTGGTCATCCTACAGATTTGTCAGAGCGACTTTGTGGGGACATGAGTTTCATTAAGGTCAAGTTTTTGCCTCCTAATACCACTCCTCTCCTGCAGCCCATAAACCCAGCAGGTCATTTCCAACTTCAAGAAACTGTACAAAAAAAGCTATGTTTGAAAGGTGCTTTGAAGTGACCACAGAAACTCAATTGACTCTAAAGGATTTTTGGGAAGGATCACTTTACTATCCTCAATTGTGTAAAATTTATAGGTAAGGCTTGGGAGGGAGTGACTAAGAGGACCTTGAACTCTGCCTGGAAAAGACTGTGGCCAGAATGTGTAGACAAAAGGGGATTTCGAAGGGTTTGAGGCTAACCCTGAGAAGCCTATGCCGTTGAAGAATCCATTGTGGCATTGGGGAAGTCCTTGGGGTTGGAGGTAAGTGGGGAGGATGTGGAAGAGTTGGTGGAGGAGGACAATGAAGACCAAACCCACTGATGAGCTGCTAGATCAACTTCACCAGCAAGAGGCCACACCTGAGGAAATTGCTTCGGAGGAGGGGAGAGAGAAACTGAAGAAGTTGCCTACTTCAAAGATTAAGGAAATCTGTGCAAAGTGGCTTGAAGTGCAAACCTTCATGGATGAAAATCACCCTCAGACAGCTATTCCCAGCCGTGCTGGTGACTATTACACTGACAATGTTGTGAACCACTTTAGGAAAGTCATAAAGGAAACGAGGGTACAGGTCTCTATGGACAGATATGTTGTGCGACAAAAGGTCCAGTGACTCTCAACCTGGTCCTAGTGGCATTAAAAGAAAAAGGGAAGTACCCCGGAAAAGGACTTGCTACCTCAAGTCCTAATGGAGGGGGTTTCCCCCTTCTAAATGCTAACACCATCCACACTCCCCTCCTCCCATCCCATCAATCATCACCAGATCTTTCATTAAAGGTAATTGTTTAATTATTCTTTCATTTTTTTTTTATTTTTGTTATTGTAAAATTTCTATTCTATTGCATTAAACTTAATATTTCATGTGGTAAAAGTTTTTTTTTTCATACTTTTGGGGGCCTTGCACGAATTAATTGGGTTTCCATTATTTCTTATGGGGAAAATTGATTCGCTTTCCGATATTTTTGGTTACGATGAGCTCTCAGGAACGGATTAGTATCGTGAACTGGGGGTCCACTGTATATAGAAAGCCCCCTGTTATGGTCCGCATGTTGGGCAAATTAGGTCAGTGTCCCAGGATGCGGGGCCCCCACCAGTCGACTAACACCTAGGTACCCACTTTACTGATGGGGGAACATAGACAACAGGTGGAAAGAAACACGCCCAATGTTTCTACTCTGGCTGGGAATTGAACCCAGACCCTCGCCGTGTGAAGCGAGAGCGTTAGCCCCCAGGCCACCACGTAATAATTTAGATTGCTTCTGCTAGTTGGCACAGCTGGTAAGCAGTAAACATGTTTACATCCTGTGGGGCAGTTCCCCCGTGCTTTTTTGCATTTTTTGACAGTTATTTGGTGAAATTTCTTTTTTCTAACCATGGGTCCTAGTGATCTACTGCAGTTAGCCTCAAAAATACTCCGTTTCTCTTACAGTAAGAACATGGGAAGATACTACGGTCAAATTGTGACAAATGGGTGACGCTTTATTCATTCTAGAGTATATATCATGTTTCTGTGCTAATTTATATTTTTTATTATGTCATACTAGATGAATTGTGATAGATAAATAAGCCGTACAAAATTTATAATAGCTCATATTCAAGTATTTTTTTCTCGTCTCTCCAGACAGCAGGGAAAGAATTAATGGCTTTTCAATTAATTAAATGAGGAAAATTAATTTGATATATGAGTAAATTTAGTTACTAGCTAGCTCCTGGAATGGATTAAACTCCTAAGTCAAGCTTCCACTGTATTGGTAAATACATTTATGGGAAATTTTCCCCAAAACAGAATGCCAACTACGCAGTTCAAAAGATCTATCCAGCAATTTTAAAATTGGGATGTTAATTTGAAGGTTTGCTAACATAGCAGTCTAGAGAGGAATACAGTGGTTAATGATAATGTTCCAACAATGGTTCATGACTACTCTTGAACATTCTTAAAATCAAATTAAATTCATCTTTATTTTCTATTTATTAACTACTTCATTAGAATAAACAAATTACAAAAAGATTTTCAAGCCAACCTTAATTTTTTTTTTGTAGAATCCTTTTTGGTCATTTTACGTAGAGCAACTCTAAATTCAGCAGAAATAGCACTATCATCAGCTTGAGCTGCTTGTGAGGCTGCAGGCACATAACCAAGTCTTGCAAAGCACTGAATCCAACAAAGCCTGTTGCCCCACCAAGTAGTTCTGCTGTTCTTCCACTACTAGAAGGCTGAAGATACAAGAAAATAATAATCATCAACCACCTAAAAATTAAATAAATAATTAGTATGGACATTTTGACATAACACGATAATTTACAAGCATGGTATAGAAGCATCAGAAGATTAAATGCTTTATGCTACAAAACTAAAATATTTTTAAACAAAAACTAAATAAATTATTGTAATACTGAAATAAACAATGTGTGGTACACAGAAAAATTTGTGACTCTTATGATTTTTGCAAATGGGAATGTTGCTTCAGTTTTAACAGAATTTAATAATCTAGTTGTGTGTTTCACAGAGGGGTGCAAAGGTATGGAAGGTCCATCATATTTCTATGTAACTAAGTTGTGAGGGAAAAGTTCAATAGATAGGAGTAGCAATATAGTAACAATAGTTTCATTACTGGCTACTACTTAACCCTTTGAGGGTCGACAGGCCCTCTCCGAAACTCGTTCTCAGGGTCGGCCAAATTTAAAAAAAAAAAAAAATTATTTTTTTCTTATGAAAAGATAGAGAATCTTTTCCCCATCATAAAGACACCAAAAGTTTGAAATTTGATAGAAAACTTACGGAATTATGCTCTCTCAAAATTAGCGGTCTCGGCGATGTTTACGCATCGGCGATTTTGCCCCCTTTGAGCCCCATTTTCGGCCAATAACTGTACTACTCGATAAAAAAAAATGAATATTTCGCTAGAACTCCCTTTTTTCTATCGAATGGGTGCAAGAAACCACTCATTTATGAAATTCAACTATCAGTACAGTGGTCAGAATTTAGCAATTTTGCCAATTTCAAAACAAATTTCAAAAGAGCCAATTTCCCAATAGGGTCCAGAATAAACAAGAAAGACATTCCTGGCACTAAAATGACATTTCCTCTAGTCATTATTCACGTCTCAGGCCCCTCTTTTTATTCTTTTGCTTTCCACTTTGAATTTTTATTTTCACAAAATATAAGATTTTCTGTTATGCAGGACTACTGCATTAGTGTAAAAATGGTATAAATATTATTGGTGCACTTGTGAAAGAATATTAGACTCACCAGTTGACGTGTATTGCACGCTTGGCACGATTTGTTTACTTTTGAAGTTTGGTAAAAATCGAAACATTTCTGCTACTTTGAGCTCAATTTCAAGGCACCTTTCTTTGTAAAAACCCGTCAAAATCATCTCTATTTCTGTAATATGTCTTCCTTCTATAAAATGAGACCAAAAAAACTAGAATACAACAATAAATACCATACGAAAATACACTGCAAAGTCGCTGATTTATTTAAAAAAATGGTCAAAGTTTTTTTTTTTTTCATTATGCAATGTGTGCTGCAGGATTTTTTTTTGACTGGCACATGACCACTTAAAAGAC